CTATATGTGGAACTATACTTTTTAATGGTTAACTGCACGAACACTTACATAGGTAACGTGTGGCCTTTGCCCAGGAATTAAGTAACGAAATACGTACTTACGTAGTATGATACAGTTCGTATAGTTCATAACTTCATATAGTTCAGCCATTAAATTTAGGGGCCGTCAATTTAAGTAATTAATTTAATGCATGTTTAGTTTGGTTAAATATTGTCCGAATCATTCAACAACCAATTAGCGTCTGTAGTCCAACGGTTAGGATAATTGCCTTCCAAGCAATAGACCCGGGTTCGACTCCCGGCAGACGCATTTTTGCTCTTACTTTCCGAGTTTAAGAGTAGTGGTTGCTAATGGATGTACAAAGAGAAGGTGAAAGGTACTTGAAGGACGATGTATTTTTATACATGGAAAAGTGTTAAGAGTAGTGGTTGCTAGTGGCAGACGCATTTTTGCTCTTACTTTCCGAGTTTAAGAGTAGTGGTTGCTAATGGATGTGCAAAGAGAGGGTGAAAAGTACTTGAAGGACGATGTATTTTTATACATGCCAGGGAGGATCTATGTTAGGACTATGGTGGGCTGAAGCCCAGGGCAAAGTAAAAAAAAATAATTTTTTTAAGGTATTATTTTCACAAAATTCTATCTAGCCCAGCCCAAATTTTTCTATAGCTCAATCCAATTTTTCAGCCCAACCTATAAAACAAAATCATTCCATCTAAAAATCTAATCTAAATGTTATACGAATTACCTCCCACTTAACAAGAGGCACTTTTGTACATCGTATAAGGGCTGTAAAGCCCAAAAGGAATAAATGTAATTAATACAATAAAATATGATTCAAATATGATGCACATCAACTTGTGTTTGAGTATATTCAAGAACATTGCCCAAAAGTGAGTTCTTGGGCAGAAGTTCATAGTGTATATAGACATTTTCCATGTTTTGAATTTGTGTTCAATTCACTTTTGATATAACGAGTATTCTTTGTCAAGACCTTCAAACAATTATTGGATATCTTGATAGTAATGAGACATGTTTCTACTAAACAACTCATTCTCGGGGAAGTGACATAAAATGGATGTGAAGGCTTTCTTGAAGAAGCAAAGGAGTTTTGCTCAAAAAAGAAATTCTTGTACCGATATTGAATTATAAATATATGGTTGGTCATTGCCGAAAAGAAACTACAGTTGAGCATTCATTATCACTTTGATGTTTTCAATGAGGCAATAGACTTTGTATCGATGAAGTTAAGGACTCGGTTTAATGATAAATCAATGGATCAAACTCCTTTCTTTGAGTGCTTCATTGGATCCCGAAAGTTCATATGTGTCGTCATTCAATGCCGATGCTATTTGTAATCTCTTGCAAGGAAGTTCTATCCCGAAGGTTTTAGTAATGCTTTTGAATTCAAGCGACAACACTATGCTCATGATGTGATTCATGATACAAAGTTTCGAGTATCTACACTTGTTGAATTATGTGAGCAGTTGACTAAGAGCAAAAGATCTGTTTCATATGTTATGATCAGCATATTGATTCGCTTTGTATTGATCTTATTGTTTTCACTTCAACAATAGAATGATCATTTTCTGCCGTGAAACTTTTAAAGACAACACTTCGCGACAAAATGGATGATGACTTTTTTGTTAATTGCAATACACTTTATATTGAAAAAGGTCATACTCTTAGTATAGATGTAGACTCTATAATTGACGAGTTTTTTTGTTTCAAAGCTTCGTCGAGAACAAATTTAGTGGAGAACTCTTACATATATATATTTTTTGCTTATTTTGAAAATTTTTAATGTATTATCAATTAAGTTTTTCAGCCCAGTCCAACATGAAATCCTGAATCCGCCCCTGATACATGGAAAAGTGTTAAAAACTGAAGGAAGGCACTGATGTACTATTTATCATACATACAAACGTGTAAAAACTAAATCAAGTTTTTTCTTTTACATATAAGTGATATACGTAGTACTAAACAACAGTTCAAAAAAGTTCCCACTTTGATTAAAAATCTCAATAACGAACTCAAAAACATTTAATACGAAGCGGACGGCCTAAGAGTGTCTAAGGTTAGTTTGGTGAGCGGTGACTATTTTTCGTGCAGCAGCGCGTAGTTCCGGCTGTTCTAGGAGTCAAATTTATTCGGTCTAGCGGTGCTAATAGTTGATTTCTGGTCCATGGTGGGGTTTAACCTACGACTCTAAAGGAGACATACATAGGAGGACAGAGGCTCGTTCATGGAGTTGTTTGCAATTAAATCCCGACAATGGCGATTGGCATTTGGCAGTGCACTTTTGGTGACAAAAGTAGAGGCTTGACAGAGAACATGATGAATAAGAAGCAGAGTGAGGAAGGTGATACAGTACAATTAAACCGTCTCCCTCTTGAACTGCCGCCATGGAGGAAAAGAGAAGCTAGGGTTTTGAAGAAGACGAGTCAAGTTTGTCTTACTTTATTTAATTTTATCCACATTAATTTAAAGTTTTTAACCCTGTACCTTGGATTTACTTCGTTTGGTGCGTCTGCGGTTAAACGGTACAATTTATGTTTTGTGGTTTTAGTTTTTAGTTTGAGATGAAACAACTAGACTAGTTTGGCTGATAATAACTTTGAATCTCTCGCATGTTCAGCGATTATTCTTGCTCATTATTGGGAAGTCTATTCTATACCTGATCAGAGAGGAAGAGGACCTATTGGTTATAAGGAGTCTAGCGGAAATGTTTGGGTAGTCAGCATGCTGGATGTTTGATTGTTTTTATGAGTTAATATAAGTGTTTTAAAAACAACATTTCTAACCAATGTTCTCAGAGGCATTATGCGATGGTCAGACGCGCCTATGTGGGGACCAATAGAAATTATAAGTTTACTAATAGAAATTACCCTAAATAAGATTAAAACATTGTTAAAGTTCCTAATAGGACTTTAAGTTTATTATTTCTCTAATTGGGACTTCAGATTACAATTTTGTCCCTTATTTTGTTAGACTCAAACAATTGACCATTCTCTCGATCGATGCCCGTGCCTGCACAAGCACCTACAATATCTCATTGTCTCGTGATTTACATTAATAAGATAATGTCATTATTATGTCATTACTAATAAGATGGCAATCTTGCCGGAGTTGGGAAATGAATCGTCAGATAGCGGTTGTGTCGGCTCGGGGGTGGGCATCCGCGCAGTCTGATTAGAGGGAGGAAAGTAGTGTGGCTGTGATACTAGGATGAATATACCAAAGCTGGGGTGGGGTGGGGTGGCTGTGATACTAGGATGAATCCCAGAGTTTAGTATTAAGGGTAGTTTTGTCAAGTGACTACACTTTTAGCCGTATAAAATATTGAAATGCTACTTTTCATTTTCTCAATGTTTCAGTCCCGGGGTATCAACATTTACGGTAAAGGGTATTCAAAAACCACTAAGGCAACTTCGACCGAGGCCGAGTTTGAAAGCAGTTCTCAGTATATCAAAATAAGTCCAAAACTGTAGTTTGTAGCCGAGGTCGAGGTCGACTCTCGCCGAAGTGATCAACATTTCTAGCACTACGACTAAGCTCCATGCCAACTACTGCACTTCAAGCTTGAAGATCGATAAAGGCATCACCACTTTACCTTATGAGATGAGGTTACTTACTTGTTAGCTAATACACTACATTCGAGCTCGACCTCTACAACCGAGTGCAGGACCTTGTGCAAAGATTGTGGATTTAGACATTTACTTGGATATCATAAACATTCGGGATTATGTCACTGTGTGACAGCTGCCCGGCCTGCCCCAAGGCTGACGTCACCTATTTCGATTACACATGTCGGCTGTCAGACTTACACGTGTGGTTGATCCATCCATTTTAGTATGCAAGGACAGAAGTTGGTAATAGTACCAATCAATAAATATTAGGGAAAATGGAAACTAATAATCCAACCTTTTAACGGTATTCTTTCAATAATCCCACCTTTTGATTATTCATGAATAATCCAACCTTTGCACCTCATCTTCATTCATTGGTCCCTGGTCGGTTAATGACCTACTATTCCAAGTTATTTTCTTATCTTTGCAAAATATTATCTTTGTGAAAGATGAGATTTATGATATAATGATTTGCAAAGATAAGAAAATAGCTTGGAATAGCAGGTCATCAACCGGTTAGGGACCAGTGATTGAAGATGAGGTGCAAAGGTTGGATTATTCATGAATAACCAAAAGGTTGGATTATTGTAAGAAGACCGCTAAAAGGTTGGATTATTAGTTTCCATTTTCCCTAAATATTACTCCCTCCGTTCTTTTTTATTAGTCCTTCTTTCCTTTTTGGGACGTTTTTTTATCTGTCCTCCTTTCCATTTAAGGAAAGTTTTTACTCTAAATATACCTTTATACCCCAACTTTTATTATCATTACCCCTTTCTCTTTCCTACTTTTTCATTTACCCACTACTCATTACACCTTTTACACTACCCCTACTACTTTCCTCTTAAAACTCGTGCCAAAGCCTAAGAGGACTAATATTAAAGAACGGAGGTAGTATCTCTACATTAGCTTTACATGTGTTACTAGACTTGTATGGCAGTTATTTTGCTTATTTTGTAAGTATTTACTTGTACATTATAAATATCACCTTCAAACTTATGGAAAAGGACTGCATTCTAAATTCTCAAGTTTACTATTACGCTGCCTATTTTCTTACTCGATCTATACTTAGCAATTTTTCGGCTCTCCCTCAGTTTCTGCCTACCCTGAGATCGACGAAGCCATCAAGTCCTATTTCAAAAAAAATCTTATTTATTAGTGTTTTTGCATAAATATGATTAATAATGTTGTGTTTGTGTGTGTATAAAAATAGGTATAAGTACAAAAAAGTTACATGTGATTCTGCTCATTTTTAAATAGGGGTCAGAGGTTCATTTTTTTTTACTATGCATGTGTTTTCAATTTGAGGGGTCTCCATCTAAAGTCTAAAACATTCAAATAGAGAAAAAAAATATTCTAATTATTAATTTTAATGTGTCTATCTCTTGGCTCCCGAGACTCTTCCGTAGCATTCCAACACTTTCCCCCGAGATCGAGCATAGCATTGAACAAATAATGTAAGAAACAAAAAGGCACGCCCACTTCAATTTGTATCACTAGTAAGTACAAAGAAATATCATGAACTTGAAACTAACACTAGTTTTGCTTGAACCAAATGCAAAAATAATATTTGCACAACCGAAAAAATATAAAACCAAACATTGTCAACTCCCTAATTCTCATAGCTGGAGCAAAAAATGACACCAGCCAAAAAACAAACTTCTTTAATCGTTCTACTAAACGAAGTTGATGTTTTTCTTCATCAGGGAATGATAAGTGTCAACAACCATGCTGAGTCCGATCAGAAATGTGATAGGCTGTATACCAGAGTCCACACTAGCTGAAAAGGCAAACAGCGAATTAAGACGGTCAATGACTCAGTGAGGACATTATACACTGCTTAATAGTGTCATAACAGGTATAGGGAGTCAGGGAGATTATGTACCACAAATAGTGTTATGGAAGCAAAAAGCCCCTCTTGCAGGAGACTTCCATGACCACCAAAATCTTCTTCGTCAATCTTCAGTACCAGTGCATAATAGCCGTAGATAATCCCAGATGATAACACTAGAAACCTAAAAACGATAATGTGTTTAATTTGTTTCTCAGTATGAGCATCATTTGGACCAAGATTATGAACACATTATTTTCCAAGCAAACATAAGGACATCTAAAAGGATATCCAATGAACTTTTGACAGTTTCGAGACAATCTGATGAATATTCATTGTTTATAAAAATAAGGTGCCCAAAATTTGTAATGAGGTGAGGTGGGTTCACCAAGCATATTATACCTAGCCAATGTTCATCACAATTGGAAATATGAGCGTTTATTAGACAAGAACCAAAATTTCATCCTAAATGCTCATAATGGTTGACATAGGGGCTCATTGTAAGCAAATATGTACTCTTCCGTCCCAAAAACAAAAAGGGAAAGTTCCCGAAATAGGACTAAAAGAGTTTGAAAATTCCAAAATAGGACTAACATGTTTTTATTCCCAAAATAGGAGTAATTACTGCCAAGTTTCGAAAATACTGCCATGTTTGAAGTCTGGTACTGCCAAAATATGGCAGTAATTAGTCCTATTTTGGGAATAAAAACATGGCAGTCCTATTTTGGAATTTTCGAACTCTTTTAGTCCTATTTTGGGCAATATCTCAAACAAAAAACAAGAGTCTTGCTGTAAAAACTTACCAATTTCAGAAAAAACATTTATCAACATAAAATGTTAACTTTACATTGAATTTAATGTCATTACTCGAAAAACAAAAAACAAGCTTTCAAAACAACTTCAGAGTGTTAAATCTATGAAACATGACTCCTTATGAAGACAGCTGTCGTAACTTGGTAAAAACATTGACCGTGAGAACTACACTAAAATCATATCTTCTAACAAGTGTTTAGGATATTTAAAAACCCCAATAACATAACACTAATTGGTCAATTTTGTGGGGTGGGCCGCGGGGGGGGGGGGGGGTGTACTAGGAACTAGACTTCCTATTTAAATGAGCATATTGTGTGGAGGCTTGATACTATAAACTAAATTTCCTATTTCAATAAGCCACCTCATTTCTCCTTTGTTATCTCTAAAGGAGAGGGATCGAGCAGAACATGTCAAACAAATTGTTGGCGCATTAAATAACCATAACTTACAAGGCTAAAGTTATTTCAGCATATGATCATGTGCACACATAGACTTAAATGTGCATGGAGTCAGGCCATATTTGCTAGCTTCTAACAGCCCAACCTCCATCTAAAGACCTGTTGAATTAAATCCTATATTGTTAACTTCCACAAGATTATTGTAAGGGTTCTGTTATGGACTTATGGAAACAATATATTACATGAAGGCTATACTGCTCACAGCGGTGCTAAAGACTGTAACTTTATCTGCAACAGTTTTAAGGACATGAGAACTTTTGAAGAGTAAACTTACAACATAAACCAGAACCCGCCAACCAAAGGAATGCCCCCCCAAATCAACCCGCATACAAGAGCCATAGCTTGTCTGGTCCAATGCAATACATCACCCAATTGGTCCTGCAATAAAACAATTATTAGTATCAACATCATCTGTGAACAGCACAGAAAAAGCCAGAAGTTAAATGTTCCATCAAGTTATTTTTACTGGAAATATGTAACAGGATAATCTATATTGTATTCTTGCATTAAATTGGCACACATTTTTTCATTGACGCCTCTCCTTTAACCAGTCTGGCAGTCTCACACATTATCTATAATCTATAATATATCATAGGAGTACTTCGTATAATCTAAATAACTTATTCTTCAAAAAAAATTAAAGTGGAATGCAATAATTTGTAAGTCATCATCTACAAAAATAGAAAGTGTTTTCACCTGTGATTACTGCTCCACATAATTTTCTTGGGTGCTGGAGTGAATGCATAATAGGATCTATTGAATTAGTATTGATGGGATTTAAACAAAGCTTTAATAACCAAACCAAATATTATTTCCATTGAAATCAAAGACAGGAAAAAATTAGCACAAACCATTTAAGTTTCCAGAAAACAGTCTAGTAAATAAGCTCCTGAATAAGAAAAAGGACTGCAAGGATTCACCTTTATTTACACTTCCATTGTCATAACGATAATGATTAACACATTCCAATTAAGAGCTGGTACAAGTTTGGTTATAGCGTACTGATAAACAACACTTTAACCACACTATCACAATCTAAAGAAACAAATGAGCAAAGAAGCAAACAACTAACAAGGATTCAAAGTTGGAACCTTGTCCCAAGAAGCGTCAGGATCGAACAGCTTGGCAAGCCTAAACGGAGACAAGTGACCATTCTGGTGGAAATGCTGCTGCTGTTGCTGATTGGCCTTGGCCGATTTTCTATCTTTCATGGCGAATTCCAGTAACAGATTCCAAAAAAATCGGGGTTGACTACGGAATCCACAGGCTTGAATCAACGAATCTGATCCGGGTTAGGAGTTAGGGTTTCTATGAAGGCGACAAAGCTGATGATGCTCACTGACTGTTCCTTGAATGTGGAAACAGGGGAAAAGATAAATTGATAGAGAAAAAACGATAAAAAATTACTCTTTCCACCAAATTTTCAACTCAATAATTGAAAAAGGCTCGCGGCGATATATATAAATATAATCAAATATTCAAAACTCTGGTCTAGCGTTTGGTTAATGGTTGGCATGCGTCGCTGGCGATGGTCCCTCCAGTCCTTCCATTACCAGACTAATTAAGATTACATATTGCCCTTGAAGATAACCTGAGGTTAATTAATCATGTAAAAAGACTGCCCTACTCCATATAAACTTCAACTACCGATGATGGAAACGTCCCACTTTAGGATTTTCATGGTCTAGCCAGGTATTAATAGGACATCACGTCTATCCTAGCAGGACTGGTCTGATATGATCTGATATCAGACTGGTCTGATATGATCTGGTCTGGTCTGAACTGGTCCGGTCTGGTTTCTTTGTATTTTTATAACTATCCAAGTCTGGTCTGGTCTGAACTGGTCTGGTCTGGACTGGTCTGAGACAAATTACAGTCCAAGTAAAAACATCCTTAATAATATGAAATTAGATTTAGACCGAAAAAATTAGATCCGAACAAATCAAATTAGACCATATTTAATAGTCAAATTATACGTAGAACAAATGTATATAGACCAAAGTGTCACTGTTCTAAAAATCGGCTTGGACAGATCGATCAATCGGCGCCTAGGCACTAGATGACCCTAACTGTAGAGGATTAATTGGATTAGTAGGTCAAAAAATCGGCCTAGTCGCACGCCCAGTCGGTGTCTAGGCGCCTCTCAACTGCCCGACTAGCGCTTAACGAGTTTTAGAACAATGAACCAAACTAATTCAAATCACAACATATTAGGACTTTTAACGAATCGAGTTTTGATCGAAGCATTTGAGCTCGAGCTCGACTCCAAACCTAACAACCCGAGCTTAAGGGGCTTCAAGCTCAAACACAAGCTCGGTTTTAAGTTCGAACAACTATTTGAGCCGAGCTTGAACATATTGGTCTTTGGCTCTGTGCTCGTATTATTGAATTTTATTAATGAGTATCATCTAAAATTTTAAATTCGAGAACAATTATCGAGCTTATAGAGCATTCGGTTCGGGTACTGAATGCCTATTGAACCGAACACGAGCCTCATTTGTAAAGGTCGTCAAGGTTCGAGCTTGAACCCGAACATCACTATTACCAGAAAAGCCGAACTCGAGCTTTGGGTGTTTGGACTCGACTCGGCTCGTTAACAACTTTAGAACAGATCATAATAGACTTAAACAGACTAGACTAGATCAGAAATTGCAGTCAAATTAAAAACATTCTTACCATCGAATGAATCTATTTTCATCCTTTTTTGTATTTAAATTTGATCACGTCGTATCTAATTTAGTTTGGTATTATCTCCTCCAGTAAAAATCAATACAAGTGAATATTGAGTTGAAGTATCACATTATTATTGATCACTGTCGTAAACAAAGTCATATACTTATTACAAATGCAAACACTAAAATATAAATATAGTAAAAATTGTCAAAATAGATAAGTAATTTAAAAAGTTTTAAATAACAAACATGAAGAAAATATAAAATTGAAATGTAGAAACTTTAAGAAATGTAGTTTTTACCAAAATTCCAGAAATAAAAAAAATGTAGATTATGACGTTTTTTTAGATTTTATAAAAAATTCCTTAATTTTCCAAACAACCGCGTTGTATGTAGTAACTCATAATTTAATAGTTGCAACATTATGATTTTTGCACTATTCACACATCTTATTTTGACTACGATTTTTTGCTACGTATTAATATTTATAATCAAATTATTGTGTATAAAAAGTTATTAAATTTTCATTAATGTGAATTACCAAAATTTTAACTTTTTATACTCCGTAGTGTTTACTGCTCCCCGAATCTTAAAACTTTGCAACTCTCCCTTTTTGGTTATCTCACTAACCTTTTCACTTTCCCTTTTAAGTAAATAATTTGTGGTTCCGATTAGTTCTCTTTTCTTTGTACAAAAATCAATCATACAATTTTTATTTTATTAATCTTGTGCCGGTGAAACTTGGCAAAACTATAGCGACGAAAGTAGTAATACACAATTAAAATAATTACAATCAAAATTGTGAGTTGACAAACGTAAAAGTTAAACCATTTCAACTATTAAAAAAAGCTACCTTCGTCCTTTAAAACTTTGCCAAGTTTGACCGGCACGAGAATTAATAAAGTAAAAAGTGTGTGATTGATGTTTGTGCAGAGGAAAAAGAATCAACTTTGCTTTTAAGGGATGAAGGAATAGAAGATCGTACTCCTTAAAAACTTTACCACCTTTGCCTTTTTAGATGTCCCACTAACTTTGACACTTTCCTTTTTAAATAAAGAATTTGTGGTTTCAGTTAATTTTTTCTTTTTTACACAAATCTCAACCACACCGTTTTTACTTTATTAATTTTCGTGTCAATCAAATTTACTTGATAAAGTTTAAAAGATTGAGAATACTTCTTAACAACTACTCCGTACGAAGTACTCCATAAATATTACGGAGTACTCCGTAAAAAACAAAACTACCAAGACAAGTGAAATGATCTGATTGATTTCAGAGTCTACTTCAAAGAACGCACCCAAATGAAAGCAAGTGACACCGTGTAAAACCGCCAAACGGACCTAATTCTTCTCTGTTCTTTTCTTTACTTATAATCCTGGAGTTTATAGTGTATAGAATTGAATTGAATTGAATTGAATTGAATTAGGGTTTAGCAGAGATGGGGAGCCCGAAGAAGAACCAGAGCAAAGGTTTCTTCGCCTCAATGACTTCGGGGTTGTCTATGTTCAGCAATGCCATCCACAGATCCGTCAACGGGTGAGCATCTCTTGCTCCGCACGTTTTGATTTGATCTGGCTCTTCTAAATGGATGGGGAACATGCTCAAATTTTCAGCTTTTGGCTGCTTTTCCATAGTAATATTGAGCAGGAACTATGAAGTACCACTTCTATTTTTGTTTTCATGTTTGATGATTTGAAATTTGTTACGGAGGAAACTATTTGCTAATTGTTTTCAAGTTTCTATTTTTCTTTGGGCTAGCTTCTGAAAATATATTATTGATTCATGCATCTTATTGTTATTACTCTGTAGTGTAAAAAATAGGGTGTTTTAGTTTTGTAACTATCGAGCTACGCGGGAACTGCTTTCAGTTTAAAAAATCTTTTCCCCAAATGCTTCCAGGCTGGTTGGATACGAAGGGTTGGAAGTTATAAATCCTGAAGGAGGCAAAGAAGATGCAGAAGAGGAAGCTCTGAAAGGAAGATGGAAAGATGAGGTGAGTAATTGTTGAATTTTAATTGCAAATGCTCTGTTTAAAATCGTAAAAGTATCCTTTCATGTTTTCAAATCCTAAGTTTTCTGCATAAAAGTGATAAACCCGTTCGATATCTGCTTTTTTTGGGTGTTGATTTAAGCACCAAATATTTTTTCTGGACTTTGGCAAAAGCCTCTTGAGTTTTCTTAAGTTGTCACTTGAATGTACTTGAAAATCTTTATTTTTCCAGTCCAAACGGATTTAAACTGGGGTGCCCCAAGGCCTAAGGATTCAGTCCCCAGCACTGCCCCCTATGTGACTGGACGTGTGGTTTGTTGCTTTATCTTTGTGTGACCGGAGTTTCTTTTCAAAAGAATTATCATGTTCCTTCAAAACGGACTAAAAAGTTGTTTTTATTGGATGACCAAAGGGCCGTTCAATTTCCCTTCCCCAAACTAAAACTACAGTCATCCTAGGAGATCAGTGGTATGTGCGGCGCAACTAGCTGAAAAGATACTTTTGTGAGCTTTTTAGTAAATGTTACTACCTCCATCCCAATTTGATGATACCATTGCGGTTTACGAAGTTTGATTGACGATAAAGCAAACGGATCCCTGTTTGCACTCAAATTATTTTTAGAAAAAAAAATTACATATTCAAAAACTACATTAAAAACTTTACAAAGTCTCAAACACCTGGATTAAATTTGATTAAAATTTAATACATAAAGTAAGAGATTAAGAGTGATTTGTGTTGACCAAATGAGAGAGAAATGGTACCATCAAAATGGGACGGAGGTAGTAGGTTTTAGTGACTAAAAAGATTTTCAAAGAAAAAGGTGATAATTGTTTGATAAAAGGTGGTTGTTTGATTTAGTTATGTTTAGTATACAAGCTGTAGTGACTAATTAATGCTAAAAGCTACAAACTTTTTTCAGATGTTACTCAAGGTAGCTTCTCAAAAAAGATCTTTTATTTTGAAAAAAGCTCTTAAAAACTGTCGCACCAAATATACAAGTAGAAGCTTTTAGATATTTGTTAAACAGTACAAAAGCTAAGGTAGGAACATATGCCCACCAAACATGCATTAGCTGTTTTATTTGGAGGTAGGAACATATGCCTACCAAACATGCACTAGCTGTTTTATTTGGTGACCTTTCATATGTGTTGAGTGATTTAATGAGAACATAAATTTACTTGGACTTTTCCTAAGTGACTGTTTAGAGTTTCTTTGCAAATCGTGGAGTACACGACTCATGTGACTTCCTGCAGTTAGGATGTTTTCTTTTGGACTGAAATTTGCTGGTCTGGTCTGGTAAACGTCTGGTCTCTGTGTCTTTTATAACTACGGGAGTCTGGTCTGATCTGATCCTGATCTGGTCTGGTCTAGGACTGAAAACAGTCCAAAAGAAAACATTCTTAGTGCTCCATGAAATACCTAAACTCACAAAATACAGTCATTAAGTAGATAAGTACTAAGTTCTAAAGATATATTACTGTAGTGCTAGAAATATCTCCAGTATCTAAGCTGAAATTAATGCAAATAGACAATTATCTTTTTTTATTCCTAATTTGTTCGTTTTTTCCCAATATGACAAGTTTTTTAAACTAGCAAAGGAGTTTCTAAAATATAAAGTATCATTTATGACTGATTAGAATTATACCTTAGCGAACTAAATAAAAGTTGTACTTTGCTCAAACATGACTACTTTTATGGGACAAACTTCAGAGGGAGCTTCACTTGCATAGTTGCTTGTATATCTTTGTCACAGCAATTGTCAACATGCTTTTTCTTTTCTGCTACTTTCCTTTTTGAGCATGAGAATGTTCTTCTTCTGTTGCATTTCATCATTTTTCAGAATTCGGCACAAACTTGGTGAATAATTGTTTTTTCTGTTATCTCAAGATTATATAATCTATTATTTTAAAATATTTTACTCATGTAAACTAACAGAATTGTTCCTTTCCCTAAAGGAGAGAGATAGTTACTGGAAGATGATGCATAAGTACATCGGAGCTGAT